GTAGTATAAGGAATTGAATATATTGTTTGGAAACATGGATAGTAATATATTAAGAAATAAATGTATTGTTTGGAAACATTGATAGTAGTATAAAGAAAAGAATATTAGTAATTAAATTTATGTTTAACTATAAAGTAGAATATGTATTTAATTTAAAAATTACAAAATAAATGTTAGGTCCAACCTAATGTTTCTGATTTAATAAGATAGATTGTTGAGTTAGTTATAGCTTTAAGTAAAAACTAGATTTTAATCAGCGATTTAAAAGTGCATGATTAACTTTTAGTTTAATATTTTATATAAAAAAATTATAATTTATTTATTTTAAATTTTATATAATTATTAAAAATATGTATAATTTATTGTGCTTATTTTCTTAAGTGAACAAAAGTTTATAAAAAAAAAACTGAAATTATTCATACATATATTATAAATATTTTATTTATTTAAAATAATTTACATTTATTTTATTCCTCGTTTTTACAGTCTCGTCTCAGTCAACTTTTAATATATATATATATATATATATATATATATATATATATATATATATATATATTTACATTGAAAATTATGTTAAAGGTTGTTTCAGTGCGTCTTGTACTTTTTAAAATCATAAATTTACTTAATTTTTATATAAAAAGAATATAACAATATATATAGAGATATATATTAAAAAATATTTTAAATATTTTTATTATAATGTAATCTTAGAATTAATATGCAGGAGACTCTTTTCATTATTTTATTTATAACAATTAAAATATAATCTGAACGAATATAGAAATGTTCAAATTAAAGTAGTAGATATTTCATTAGTTTCAAATAACCTAGCTAATTGAGTAAATATAAATATAATACAAATGAAAATAATATATAGCATCTATGTATAACTAATTATTAAACATGAAAGATGAAAACTTATTCTGTAAAATAAATTAGACATGAAAAATGAAAACTTATTATGTAAAATATTTGTTTCAATTTTTAAAAAGCATATTTTAATAAGATAACTAGAGTCTAACCCGCACTAAAGTGCGGGTATTTTTTATTTTTTATTTTTTTTATTTTGGTAATATAAATAGACTCATGTAGACTTTGTAAACTAAATTGGTAGTTTCGCATTTATGCGGATATGTTTTATCAATATAAAATATATTTTTCACATAGTATTTTTGTTTATTTTATCGATATAGAATATTAGATGTTATGATATTAACATATTTTAACAATTTTTTTATAAAAAAAATGTAATTCTAGATAGAATGTTTAGCATATGCTAACAAATTTATTTTTTTATATAAACATTTACAAAATTTACAATTTTTTTTAAAAAAAAATATCTAATTCTAGATAGAATATTTTAACACATGTTAATTTTTTTATTTTTTGTATAAAAAATTACAAAATTTATGAATATTAAACCGTCTTAATAGTGCATGATATTTATTTAGAAAGCACTTTTTAAAAATAAAACAGGATAATATATAAAAATAATATAATTATGTCATATTTAATTTATATAGTAATTCTATTTAATTATATTATAGGCTAAACTTATAAAGTTATAAAATAGCATATATATTTTTTTCTTTATATGAAAGTTTAATTAAAATTAATTTATACTACTATTAATCTATTAATTACGAAATTAATCAATGAAATATTTTACAAAACATATTTAAAAAGTTTAGTAAGATTTTGTTATTTAGTTAAGAACGAATTTATGGTTGTTAGAAATTGGAAATACTTGTGATTGGTTGTTATTGTATTATTGTTTAAGAAGTTTCAGTATATTTTGTGTGGTTTGAGTATCTTGATCAATGTTTGTAATTCCTGTCTTTTTTATGTTAAGATTTAGAAGGCAAATTTATGTTTGTATCTTGATATATTTAATAGATTAGATATTATCTTGCTACAATATAGGAAGTTAAGTTTTATGTTGTTAAGAGAATTTTTTGGAGAATATCGATCACATCTATTATCCTAAGTATTACTTACATAAACCGTGGTTTGTTAATAAGAGAACCGGTTTGATTGAGATTTACAGTTTCTATAAGTCGATATTATATGACCAAGAAGTCGTCTTCTTCAACTGATAAAAAGAATGAAGATAAAAAAAACACAGATGGTTGATATACCTTTTTTATATGGATTCATGTTATAAGTTGATCTGTATAGACAGGAACTAATACTGATTTGAAGTTATACAAAAGTACATGACATGGTCAATAGGTAATGAGACATGAACTGAGTTAGAAACATATATGCTTGAATCACTTTTGTAGAAGAAAATCTGTACGCATTTAGAAAGAACTCTACATGATCTGAAGTTATACAAACGTATGTAGTGTTATTAGTCTTGTTGATGATGGTTTCCAAGTATGTAGTCTTTATTGAAAGTACTGTTTAAAATATGATGATAATTGCTTTATATATTTGATGTTTTTTTTTTTTTTTTTTTTTTGGCAACTATATATTTGATGTAAACGTGGTATTATTCGATATGTTATAAAAGGTTGGTTTTTTATAGTGAAAATGAAGTATTATAGGTAAAATATATTTTTAATTTGTAAGGCAACTAAATAAATGATCCAACTAAGACTTGTTTATAGTAGATAAAAAGTGACTCTATTTTAATAGAGTAGAAGTCACTATAATATGCGTAAATATAAATTTGGCTAAATAATGTTATTAGTCATAACATAAGTAATGATTATACATCAGTAACAAATGTTTCGCTTCAGTAAACGAATATATGACCCATTTTTTTCTATTGATAACAATACATTATTTTTATATAAACGTGATATATTGATTTTTTGTGTGAATTGTTACCCACTTTTTTAATTAATAAATAACTCTGTTGCTGAGAGTTTTTATGACTAATGAATAATTCAGTGATTTTATTGAAGAGTATCTCTTTATTAAGTTAGAATGTTTTAAATAATATTAATTTAATTGATTATGTAGAAACAAATGAGTAGTATATAACTTTAATTAAATAAAAATGCAACGGCATAATCTAAAATTTTCAAAATAAGATTTTGCTTTAATAGTATAGATGATAACTCAAAACTTAAATTAACATCAACAAAAATCTTATTTATTAAGAGTTGAGTTAAAGAAAATTTAGAGTTTTTCAACTATCACGTCTACTTTATGATTTTTAACAAATTCAACTAATATTGGGTTTTTCTATTGACTAGACTTTTGTGTACGTTTAGTTTATATTAGCTAATACAAATTAATATATTTAAAATTTTAATATGGCGACCTACTTGTTAGCTAAAGTTTTCTCAAAATTCTACAAAAATAGTTTTTCACTGTATTTAGTTAATTAAAAATTTCCTATAATTTTATTTCTTTCATAATTAAATTTTATGTAAGTAAATTATTTGTATAAGTTTCACTTTACTTATTCAATTAAATTGTTCATATAATTTTACTATTGGTTGGTAATTAAAAACTTTTGCACATAAATTATTTGTATATATATGGGAGCTTAAATATATATATATATATATATATATATATATAAATACCATTAGTTAATTTTAAGTTAATATATTTGATTTTTTAAATATTTTTAATAAATTAGTATTAAATAGTATTAATACTTTTTTAAAATAATATATACTGCATTTTATATACCTAAAAGATTGCCAATCAGTTATATTGATAAAATACTATCATATATTTTTATAGCAAACTTACCACATAATTCTAAAGATTTTACCATATATCTTTTACTGCTAGTTACATCAAATTGTAATTTTTATTATAACTTCATTCTAATGCATATATGTTAACATTCGAAAAAAAATTTGTTTTGAAAAAAAATATATATGTACTTAAGATTATGAGGTTGTTGTGAATTTAATTTAGGAATGTATTTATTAAATTATGAAAATATAATGAATACTTAAAGAAGTGGCATAGACTTGCAATAACATGAAGAATTTAATAAATTAAAAACAGAGAAAGAAAGAAACGAAATCTGTAGTTTGAATTCAATTTTCTCTGCTGCTCCTTGATGATTGATTCATGTCACTCATTTGATGTTAGCACAAACAATAGAGTTAACGGATTGACATGACAAGTATTCTTCTTAGGCTATCAGGACGATACAACTCTGTAATGACACCAAAAAGGTCTGGATCTGCATCTTGGTGATGTCACACAAAAGCATTTTCTTTAGCTTCTATGTTGGTAACATCAGCAGTTTTTGTATATAGATTTGGAATCAGAGAAGAAACCTCTGTTTCAGTCTTTTCCTATCCTACTGTCTTTGGAATTTAATTCTTTGAGAAACGACGTCGTATAGGTCATTAATGCGTTGAGCTAGAGAAAACGGCAACGTATAAGGCGTGTGAAGTTGTTTATTTCGCCCACATCGGTAATGTACAGAGCAGTCGTGTTGTTTATATAGCGCTGAGATGAAAGTATTGGTCACGACCTTACTTGAACAGGATCTGTTCTATAGGAGGATACCTCTGTATCCTTGATTTCTAAGGAGACAGGTCCCAAACCCTGGTTGATGAATCATGACCGTGTGACTTGAGTGTGATTAACGGCTACGGTTCTCTTCGGAGGCGCCGAGCTGTAGAGGATCGCTATCCGGTTAGGTCTTGTCCTCTCCGGAATGGTCACACGGTTGTCTGACAGGCTTCCCTTTTTTTTGTTCTTTCACCTCCCTCAATTTTTAAATTTATTACATTTCAACCCAATAACTTTTGCCATTCCTTTTTTATTTGAATCCTTCTGGATTTGGAACGAGCCTTCCCATGAATTCCACTCGTATAGAAGAAAGTTAAGATGCGTAGATGGGTTTTTGTTGGGGGAGGTGGATAGATTTACAGACTAGCTTATGAATCATCTCAATTTTTAAATTTATTACATTTCAACCCAATAACTTTTGCCATTCCTTTTTTATTTGAATCCTTCTGGATTTGGAACGAGCCTTCCCATGAATTCCACTCGTATAGAAGAAAGTTAAGATGCGTAGATGGGTTTTTGTTGGGGGAGGTGGATAGATTTACAGACTAGCTTATGAATCATAGAAGCAGGGATGATTGTCTTTATACTATCTTTTTTTGACTTCTATGTATCCTGTGCTAAGTTTAAACTCATTCAGAGTATCATGGCTTAGACTGATGTAGTATGTTAGATTGTGAGCTTCGGAGAATAGTGTGGTTTAATGATTTAATAGAACTTTTTTTTAGTAGAAGGTAAGGCTTGTCTCACTACAGAACCTTCTTCTCTTTGTGTTATGTTTACCTTTATAACCTATTATTAAGTTTTTCTAGTTTGCAAATTTTAGATAAGATGATCAGCATATCTATAGCTGATGTTGAAACCTTATACCCTGTAAAGACTTCCTTTTCTGGTTGTTTTCGTCCATTTGATTTTTGTTTCGAATATGACACTGATTGTGTTTTGCGCTTCTCAGTTCTTATGGTACTGGTTGTGGTTTTTGCTTTTAGCCTTTGGACACCTCCTACAGCAATATCCTAGCTTGCTAGGGAATTAGTTCTCATTCAAATTGTGAAGATCAGGTAAAGATGTTCAAGAAGCAAAAAAAAAAAGAGACGTATTATACTTTTAATAGAATCAACGAACGTTATGGTTCTCCTGGTTATGAGCCAGTGGTTCTGGTTGACCGTCATGTTCCTCGGTTTGAGTAGTCTGCCTATTATGCCATGGCAGAATGCTGCACAGTCAATGCAGTGAGGGATGGTATGAACTTAGTTCCATACAAGTACACTCTGTGTCGTCAAGGAACTCCTGAGATGGATAAGTCTCTGGGACTAAGTGAAGATTCTCCTGGCACGAGAACACGCTTGTTTTGACTGAGCAAACTGTCAGTGCTTACAGAAGGTATGGCAGAATGCTGCACAGTCAATGCAGTGAGGGATGGTATGAACTTAGTTCCATACAAGTACACTCTGTGTCGTCAAGGAACTCCTGAGATGGATAAGTCTCTGGGACTAAGTGAAGATTCTCCTGGCACGAGAACACGCTTGTTTTGACTGAGCAAACTGTCAGTGCTTACAGAAGATCAAGCAACAGAACCATATTTCTTGATTATGATGGGACTTTGGTTCCTGAGACCTCCATCGTTAAGGACCAGAGTGCTGAAGTTATCCCTGCGTTGAAGACACTGTGTAGTGATCATAATAACACTACATCTATTGTTAGCGGTAGGGGGAAAGCTTCTCTGAGCGAATGGCTTGCACCGTGTGATAATCTTGGAAACTAGCGGCTGAACATGGTTACTTCACAAGGTACGTTCTTGGTTTGTCTTAAATTCTGATAGTTTTTGTGCAATCTTTTGTTGGAGTCTTTGTCATGGAGGTAGCATAATTCATCTGTCTGAGAAACAAGCGGCTTTTCTGATGACGTTGAATGGAAGAAAATCGTGGAACCTATAATGAGACTATATACATAAACTACTGATGGATTCAATATAGAAGCGAAAGAAAGTGCTTTGGTGTGGCATCACCAAGATGAAGATCCAAACTTTGTTTCTTGTCAAGCCAAGGAACTACTGGACCATCTACAAACCGTTCTTGTGAATGAACCGGTTATTGTTAGCAGAGGTCACCAGATCATTGAAGTTAAGCCTCAGGTACTACACTTTCTTCACCATATCTTCTGTTGGCAGCAAATAAAGAACCCATTGAATCGTATACATAGTCCTGCACTGTTTTTTTGTGGTGTAATAGGGAGTAAGCTAAGGTCTTGTCACCTAGCAGAATGTTTGAAGAAGGAAAGAGACCGGACTTTGTAGTATGCATCAGGGACGACAGATCAGACGATGAGATATTTGAGAGCATAACAACAACACTCTCAGCTAAATCATCGTCAATGTCTACAGAGATATTTGCACGGTGGGGAGAAAACCGAGCAAAGCCAAGTACTCTCCTGGATGAAGTAAGCGACGTGGTGAAACTTGATTCTAATTGATAAAAAAAGTTCTTGAGATGATATTTGCATCTATGAATAAGAGTACCAAACCAAAGCCTAAAATATAATATGAGATTGTTTGAGACAAAAATTAATACTATTATTTGTGATTTTGGAGAACATGGCTCAAGGGAAGAAATACTGATATCGTGCAACAACATTTTGGATTCATTTTGAGGTTTATATATTAGAGATTATGTTTCAACTGAACTCACTAACTCTAAAGAACCATATAATTGTTATGGTTTAAGAGTTTTTCATAGGCCGAGTCAAGGTTCCAGCCAAACAAGTAAATTACATTATAGGGTAGAAAACTGAGTCTATTTGTATACTGTCAATTTGCTTTTAGTTTTCAGTGATATGTGTCTTTTAACAATATCTTGCTATCCTCACTTACCTATCTCAGAAAAGGGCTTGTCCAAGTTGTGTTTTGAATCAGAAGACACAAGTTCTGCTCATAATTCTTATTCGATCACTCTCGTCAGAGAGAGTCTGAGATTCAGAAGACACAGAGCTCAAATGCCTTATATCTACATACAACACTTACTGATTCAAATAAACATGGCCCCCATGGAACAAATACAGATGAGCAGGGCCGGAGCTGAAATTTCGGAGGCTTGAAACATTTCTTAAGAACTATAAAAATTTTAGGGGCCAAGATCAATGTGGGTTTATTCCTAAATTAAATTTTTCTAAAAATTTTGGGGGCCAAAGCGAATGTTTCGATCGGCTGTGTCCAAATCCGATCCTGCAGATGAGAATCATATGATACAACAATTGTGGAATCGTTTTGAGCCTTATTATGTTAGAATTATTTTTCAACTGAACCAATTAAATCAAAGATCAACAAATTCTATACTTCAAGGTTTGGCCATAATAACTAATCAGAACCGTGGTTTTCATGGCAAAAAGAGAACCTGTCAGACAACCATGTGATCACCCCGACCAGATAGCGATCCTCTACAGCACAGAAGACTCGTAGCCGTTAATCACACTCAGACCACACGGGCATTATTCTTCAACCAGGGTTCAGGGCCTGTCTCCTTAGAGATCAGGGATAGAGAGGTACTTCCTATAGAACAGATCCTGTTCAAGTAAGGTCGTGACCAATACTTTCATCTCAGCGCTATATAAACAGTACAAAGTCTCTGTACAGTAACGATGTGGGATGTGCTAAACGTCTTATACTAATACGCCTTCGTTTCCTCCCTAAATGAACTAATTACGAATACGCCGTCGTTTTTCCACTCTTCAATGAAGCCAATTACAGTAGGCAGGCAGATGAAGCCACTAAAACAACAGAGGTTTCGTGAGAATTTTCCGGTATATTTGTTTCCAGAAGTTCATAGTCTTGTAATGCAGGTACAAATAAGTAAAATCTGATTGGGAAACAAGCAGCTTAACTAATGACCTTGAGCAGACGAAAGTCGTGGAAAGATAATTATGAGACAAAGACAATATAGTCAGAGAAACTACTGGACCATCTACAAACCGTTCTTGTGAATGAACCGGTTGTTGTTAACAGAGGTCATCCGATCATTGAAGTTAAGCCTCAGGTACTACACTTTCTTCACCATATCTTCTGTTGGCAGCAAATAGAGAGAATCCTTAGAGAAAGCATGCCCAAATCTTCATATCCTTATATTCACTGCATCGAATCGTATACATAGTCCTGAACTGTTTTTTGTGGTGTAATAGGGAGTAAGCAAAGGTCTTGTCACCGAGAAAGTTCTTAGCAGAATGTTTGAAAAAAGAGAGATTGGACTTTTTGGTATGCATCGAGGAGGACAAATCAGATGAGGAGATGTTTGAGAGCATAACAACAACACTCTCAGCTCAATCATCGTCAATGTCTACAGAGATATTGGCGTGCACGGTGGGAAGAAAACGAAGCAAAGCCAAGTTGCTAACACTTGGAGCCCAAAGCCTAGGTACCCTTCTCACCTCCAAGTCTCCTTCAAGGTCTGAATCTTAGATTTAAGGAAAACCATCTTGAGTTCTCATGGTCATATCCGGTGGTGCTTTTAGGAGTTCTCATGGATATCGAGTCTCTATCTTCTTTCAACTTTTCCCTTGTTTCCTTTGTTGGTCGTGAACGGAATGTGAAGGCTTACTCACTTGCGAAGTCAGCTCTTCATAGCTCCTCGTCTCTTTTGTACTGAACCCGGTTTAGAGTTATAAATCATCATGTTGCCTAAAAAAAAACAAGGAAAACCATCTTGAGATATATTGAAATCAAAAAAGGAGCTCAGTCACAAGGCTAGTATATCATCCAAGAAATAAGAAGTCTGCGAAGGACCCAACCAATGCTAAAGCCACAAATCCTCATCACTCCATTTGCACCAGCCGGTAATCGAACCCGGGTCTGTACCGTGGCAGGGTACTATTCTACCACTAGACCACTGGTGCTTTGTGTCACAATGACTTCATTTTAGATAATACTTACTAAAGTTCACAGCAATTTGAACATGGGAGGGAACTATTGTACAAGTACCAGTTGGTATATATCCTTTCTATCCTTTCGTCGAATCTAGGGGTTGACGGTCGGGTATCTATTCGGATTCGGTTCAGATCTATATGATAATCGGATATTTAGGGTAACAATTCCAACTTTATTCAGATATTTATAAATTTTAGCTTGGATTCATCTTTATGTGTTTGGTTCGAGTTCAGATAACCCGTTAAATTATTTTTTAAATTCATATATACTTTGAATTTCTCAAAATATAAAAATAATAATATATAACATATAAATTTGAGTAATGTAAATCAAAAGACCTACATTTCACATAAAAATTGGTTTGAGTAATATTTGGATGAAGAGTCAATAGATATATTTTAAATATTTTTAGTGTTTTGAGTGTTGTTTAACTATTTAACCTATTTACTTTTGAATATTTGTATATCTTTCAAATATTTTGGACAACTTCAAAATATCTTATATATTTTAGATACTAATTCAAAAAATAAATTTTGGATATCTAAAATATTTCGGTTCAGATCGCGTTCGGTTTTGTTTTTCTAGATACCAAAATTTTGAATATGTTCAGATATTTAATCAGTTTCTATTCAAATTCGGTATTAAATTTTTGAATCAGATTAGATCGGTTTTTAGATTCGAATTTTTAGCCTAACCCTAGTCGAATCTTTCTCCTTTTATATGTTTTTAATCATCTAAATCATAAATACACAATCACATACTTAATAGATACAACACTTGTAAAACTACTACAATTTATCAGAACTCTCATAGCTCAATCTTGGCGATTTTTGTTGTGATCCTCAATTTGGTGGATTCTATTTGTTGTATTTCGAAACTGAGGCTGAAGTCATGGGTGAATCCAAAGAATCCTAATTATAAATGGTGCATATATGGTAAGGGAAGAGTTGAACCAAAATAAATAAATACAAATGGTAAGGGAAGAAATGAAAAAACAAATGTTAATCATAGACTGATATGGGTGCACAAAGCAATTTCAATGACTATGGATGATTGGTTGTGGCTGTAGATGCTCTAGACAGTCAAAATTTAGTCCAGATATATGTATCTCAACTAATTATGTTTTTCTTTTTTTAAAAAATCTTCAGTCAAGATATTTCTAAAAAAAATTAAAAATAACTGTAGAAAACTTTATTTCTATAGTAAAAGATAAGTGCTTTACAAAGCTACAACAAAAAGATCTACAACAAATAAATCTACAGCTTAAATTCTACAGATAAAAACATAAAGCTACAGGTCATTCTAATCTCTCCCTTATATCTGCAAATGTAATTGAATTCCTTAAACTAAATTCTGAATATCAAAACTATTAAGGATAACCTCCAAAATGTTAGCTCTACTGGTCAAATCTTCTAGATCGACCAGATTCAAACTTAGGGGTGTTATTGGTTATAGAAGCTAAAATCAACTTTTTAGATTTTAAATAGAGTAGATTTTAAACTTTTTGATTCATTTCACAATCTAAGATACATGAATTATTAGATATTTTAAATGTTTGTTAATGTATTTATAAATTTAACAATATATGATTTGATTTCTATAACAGAACTACAATTTCTTCAT